ACAAACAGTATTATCAAGAAAATGAAAGAAGAGAGGCTAGAGAGTGATGAAAGTAAAAAAGTACAAACTTTCAGTTATAAAATAGATTAAGTCACAGTAATGCAAGTACATTATGATGAATATAGTTAATAAAAATACTATATAGCTAAGAGAATGAATCTTAGAATTCCTCATCACAAGAAAAAATATTTTATTACTACATATGATAACCAGACTTATTTCAGTCAATCTGCGTGTTCCACTCCCCATTCCGTCTCTGGTGTATCCTCTTCCCCCCAATTTTCTTCCCCTGCCCCATGCCACTCACCTCTAGCCTAAACCCCAGTTCTTGTATATACATGTAAATAAAATCAATCTTTTTTTAAGTGTCAACTGCATGCCAAGTGACATTATGGACTTCTGATTTTGCCATGGTAATATTACATTGGTGGGGCATTGATGCCCATGCTCTGGGTGTCAGAATGTCTCTTTCCTATAGATTCACATGTATGTGACCAAAGAAGCAACTCCATGTTTTCCAAAAGGCCTACAGAACATAGAGCTGGTGCTTCTCCTCTCTTCTTTGTGTTGACCATGTTAGCAATTTACTGGAAGCTGGTGGTTCCAGTCAAAAGGCAAACAATTTAAATTTTTTTTAAAGTGAAGATATCCCACATAATGAGAACAACTATTTTAAACTATATATCTGACATATATGAACAATTAGAAAGAACTCTTGCAACGCAATAATAGAAAGATCCAATTTAAAAGTGGGCAAAAGTAGATTAAACACTGGAACCTAAGACCTGAAATCCTAAAATTTATAGAAGAAAACATAGGCAATAAGCCCCTTGAGATCATGTGAATGATGTTTTTTGGATATGACAGCAAAGGAAAGGTAAACAAAAGCAGAAAGTAACAAATGGCAGTACATAAAACAATTTCGGGATACAATCTAAAAACGGGCAGAGGATTGAAAAAGACTTTTTTTTCCCAAAGAAGACATACGGAAGGCCAGCTGATATATAAAAAAAAAAAAAGCTCATCACCACTAATGACCAGGGAAATCCTAATGGGTAGGGGTTAAATCTCAGCACTATAGATAGCCACTGGGCCTAAATATGACACCAGGCCAGGGAGTGAGCCCACACATGGTATAACAGACCTCTCCCATCTCTGCTGCTCCCCTCCATAATATATTTCAGTAAATCTGCCTGTTCTGCTCCCCACTGTCTCTGGTAAATCCTCTAACCCCCCCACCCTGCTCCTCTGGCCTATACCCAGTTCTTCTATGCATAAATAAATAAATCTTTAAAAAGAAAAAACTAATGACCAGAGAAATGCAAATCAAAACACAATGAAGTATCACTTGATGCCTATCAGAATGGCTATATTAAAACAACAACAACAACAACAACAACAAAGGGCATCCCTGGTAGGGGGTTAAAGCACATTACTATGAAGAAGCTATTCGCAGCCACTGCAGTAAGAGTTTGATCCCCAGCCAGGAAGCAATCCACATGGCATGGCAGACCTCTCCTGTCTGGCCCTCTGCTCCCCTCAACAGTGTATTTTAGTCAATCTGACTGTTCTACTCCCTACTCTGTCTCTCACCCCCACACCTGTGGCCTGTACCTCAGTTCTTGTATACATAAATAAGGTACAACCACTTTAGAAAACAGTATAGAGGCTCCCCAAAAAAATTAAAAATTGAATCACTAAGTGACCCAGTAATTCCACTTCTGGGTATTTACCCAAAGAAAATTAAAACATTAATTAGAAAAGACAAATGCACCCCTATGTACACTGCAGCCAAGACAAGGAAACAACCTATGTCTCCTTCAGTGAAAGAATGCACACATTCACACACGAGGACACGTGAGAGTGCTACAGTGATAAAAAAGAATGAAATCTTGCCTTTGACAACAATATGGAAAGGCCATAGGATATCCTGTTAATTGAAATAAGTCAGAGAGAGATAAATACTGTATGATTTCACCTGTATGTAGAAATCTAACAGACCAAAAAAAAAGAAAGTAAAATCATATTGACAGAAATCAGACTGAGGTTACCAGAGGGGTGGAAGGAATGGGAGCTGGTGAGTGAAATGGCTGAACAGGATCAAGATTTACTTCTAGTTACAAAACAAGACAGTCAAGAGATGAATGGCAGGGGACTATAATCAACAACATGGTATTACAAATTTCAAAATTGCTAAGATGGTAAGTAGCATAATAGATCATCATGATCATTTTACAACGTATACAAATATCAAACCACATGTTGTATACCTGAAACTAATGTTGTATATCACTTATACAACATTTTTTCAGAAAACCAAGTGGATCTGAATATACCTCTCTCCAAAGAAGATATACAAATAACTAGTAGGTACATGAAAAGATGTACAACATTACTAGTCATCAGGGAAATACATTTGAAATGAGTATGTGAATATATTAAAACACCACTGCATTACTGCTGAGTATTTAAAATAGTGCAGCCACTTTGGAAAACTTTGAAGCTGATTCCAAGAAAAGTAAAGAGCCATCATTATGACTCAACAATTTCACTTCCAGGTAAATACCCAAGAGAGATGAAAACATATGTGTACATAAAACTTGAATGCAAATATTCATAGCAGCATTAGTCAAAAAAAGCCACAAAATAGCTGTCAGGAAATAGACAATCACTGGCCACAAAACAGAAACAACACAAATGTACACCAACTGATACATAGATAAGCAAAAATTACATTCAAATAAAGGAATATTATGCAGTCATAAAAAGTAATGACACAAGACATGATGTAACATTTATGAACCTTGAAAACATGCTAACTAAATTTCAAAGTCTGCAAAGACCAAGGTCTGAACTACAAGATTTTCATTCATTAAATTTCAACCAATCCATAAGACGTGACCACAACTCTCCATTTTAAAAATGGAACACTAGCAATTTACAGGTAGGGAGTTGGATATAAGCCTCTTCAAGTTCCAAAACAGCTGAAGTCATGGAAGAGACTAAGATAACAGAAAATGTGTAGCTCAAGAAAAAGATGGATATCACATCAGCCCTTAAGGGGAGCATCAACCAAAGAAAATGATAAAGAATAGAGGGATAAAAAGGAAACCAAAAGGAGTATCAAAAAAGTCAGTAAAAGATTTCTAACACAGAGAGAAATCAGTGTGAATAAGAAGTTTAAAATATATTTTTTTTTTCACTTTTTAGTGAGGATAGAGCCAAAGGTCACAAATAAAAGATAAGGCAAGTGTAAACGACTTTTAAGAGGAAAGAACTAGACTGGTTTCTGTTATTGTTCTTAGTCTAGAGACTGACGCCTCAGGGGGAAAAGTCTGGGAAAAGAGAGCAACACAGGACAACAGAACACTCCCTGATCAGTCTTCTAGAGGACAAAAGGATAAATTAGATGAACACTATATGGGATTAACCTTGGAGAAGTCCCACTGAAATAAAAAAATCAGTATATAAATGCATTAATGCCTTGTTTATCTGCATCTTTGCTGGTGAGTTCCACATTAAATGAATTTTCCAGACACCTGAAACTTTTTTTAATTGTAGCTATTATCTTTTGAAACTGTTCACCATTATGGCATAAAGTTCTATGTCTTCTTAAGCAGACTGCTTTCTGGGTAACTATGATTACTGTGCTAGGAAGTAATATAGCTGAGTCTGCATATTAGTTTTTCACATATTCTTTAACTGTCCTACATCGTTAGTTGCGATTTTTTGTCACATTCCCCTAATAACCTTTTCATCTGTGATTCTGACAGATTCTAGTTGGAAAATTATGTAGCCATTAAATAATACCGTCAATAAGAGATAATAGTGTCCTTAGTGAAATCACAGGAGTAAAGTGCATAACTTTATGACAGCTCACTCCAGTGCTTCTAACAAACCTGTTTCACTTTTCAACCTGTTTGAGAATGGGCATCAAAGAGATGATGATGTCAGAAGAATGACCTCTGACTACATGGACTATTTATCTTGCTTCCTTAAATAACATCAAAATACCTCTGCCAAAGTAATTGATAATTTTTTTGGTTTTTTTTAAAGATTAATTTATGCATACAGAACTGGGGTACAGGCCAGAGGTGCAGAGGCCGTGAGAAGATTCACCAGAGACAGAGTGGGGAGAACAGGCAGATTAAGTACACTGCTGAGGGGAGCAGTGGGTGAGACAGGAGAGGTCTGCCAAGCCATGTGGGTCGGCTCCTTGCCGCAGGATAGAACTTGTGCTTCAGCGGCTGCGGCCAGCTTCCCAATGCTACGCTTTACCCAGTTGCGCCACCTGGAGGGCCCAGTAATCGATAATTTTATATGGTTACTCTTAAACCACAGATAAACAACACAACAAAACATCATAATGATTCCAAGTGTTAGCCTAAACTTCTTACAGTAACTAAACACACTTTTCAGTCCTCCAGTCATTTACCAATAAAAAGTTACAATCTTCTACACCTTACTTCTGTATGTTAATAGTGTCATAGCACATTTCACATACACGGAATTTTTTCACGATAAATTTACTTCCTTCACAAAAACTTGGCTTGAATCCCTTTCAAGTTTCACAGAAATTTCGCAACTACTAACTGCACAAAAGCTAAAAAGGACTAGCGTCAGGCAAAATTTAAGAACACTTAAGTTCTAATACCTTGGAATAAACTGCTATGACTCATTCTTAAGGTTCTAGATGATTCGAGCCCCCTGCGCTCTGCGTATCACAACACAGGCAAAAAGAGAAGTGAGGACAGAATTAAGTCAGAGGAAGGGCCGCAGAGGAAGTGCAGGGATTTACCTAGGCAGTCTCCTAAAGCCTTCAATGAATACCTGTTGAATGGAGGGAGTAACTTGAATCTTGCTCATAAAAGGTGAGCTTCCAGGTCCAAATAAGATGTATTAGTTGCTTTTGGAAGTCAGTGCATAAACGACCTTCCAACTGATGCAGATTCCTGCACACTCACCCCCACTCCCACCTCTCCTCAGAGAAAGGCACGTACCTGTACTGCCAGCCTTTCGCACCGCCACCGCGGCTACTGCTGCTGCTGCTGCTGCTGATTCCGCCCCCACAGCTGCTGTTGCTGCTGTTTTTGTTCGGGGTCACCGCTGTGGCCAGGCCCTCCAGCTTTCCTTCGCTCTCTGAGACTTTCATCGTTGATATTGGTTCAGCACCCTGCATCTTAACTCCAGAGTCCACTTACCCTTGTAGGGAGGGAGAGAACAACTTCTGTAAGTAGTTCTGTAGGTGGTACTCTTTAAGACTGGATCTGAAGGTGATCCCAACTGCTACTGCGGGCGGCGGCTGATGTGGGGACAGCAAAGGGTCCGGGAAGGCACACACGCATTCCCACCGAAGGAAAACTTTTAAGAGGCCAGGGGAAGCGATGAGGCCAGCTATCCTTTTCAATAAATATCTCCTTCCCGGCAAAAGCAGGACTAACATCAACTAGCCAGGTAATTTGACGACATACTCAAAGGAGACGCAGAAGCCGAGGAGGGAGGTCGCGGGTCCCCGGTCAAGAGGGCTGAGCGAAGGACGGAGGACCACGGGGAAGGGACCCCGCGGCCTGACCTCGGGGCTGACCGGCCCCGCTCCCGCGTCTCGTCTTCTCCAGCTGGCCCTCACACACAGCTTCCAGTCCTGACTGCTCGGCGGGAAGCGCCGTAGCCCCCAAGACAGAGCCCGGGCCGTCCGAGCCGAGCCAAGGAGGAGGGTCGGGCAAGGAGGCCGCCGGGGGCGGGACGCCGGCTCCCAGGGCCGTCTTCCCTCGAGCCTGAGGCGAGTCGCTCTGGGCGACTTCCTCGAATGCCTTCGACCCTGGACTCTCAACTGGGCTTCCAGGGGCGGACAAGTCCCTCGCCCTCTCGCCGGCCCCAAGCGTAAAAGCCACCGCTGCGGCCGCCGCCCCACCCACAGCCCCAAGGCGGGTCACACACACCCGACTGCTAGCTCCCCGCCTTCCCTTCCGGAGTAGCGTGAGCTCACTTCCCTCCACGGCGAAGCTCTCGGCGCCATCTTGGAATAGGGCAGGCGCCCTGAAGGGGGCGGAGCCTCGAAAGATTGCAGCGCAGACTGAGAAAGGGAAAGGGAGCGGGAGGCGGAAGCAGCAGTTGGACGGGCCCAGGACCGGGAAACAAAGGGTCGCACGGAAAGACTGCCCTTGTGGAGTGCGACTTCTGATTTTCCTAACAATGCTCGGCCCTTTATTTGAAGGCCCACTGCTAGCATTTTAGGATGAAAGTTTAGAAAAATAATGTGTGTTCTGTACAGGGAACAATTAGAAACACCTCTTCGTTTTTACCAAGCTTTCCAAGCATGCATGACAGTGGAATGAGGCAAGTCAGTGTTATAAAACAAAGTTGTCGTGGAAATTAGAGCTCTTGGAGTCAAAGCTATCGGACAGTTATTCCACATCTCTAGACCTCTATGTAAAATGAGGACGGTTGAGTAGGTGACTTCCAAAAGTCTCTTTAATCATAAATTTTAGGGGTTTTTTTAAATATTAGTTTTTTAAAGATTTATTTATCTATCTATTTATTTATGCATACAGAACTGGGGTACAAACCAGTGAGAGGGTTCACCAGAGACAGAGGGGAGCAGAACACGCAGACCCACCACGTACCTTGGGGGGAGCAGTGGGCGGATCAGGAGAGGTCTGCAGCGCCATGTGGATCACCTCCGAGGTGGGGATAGAATTCATGCTGAAGTGACTTTAGCTTCTTAGTGCTGTGCTTTAACCCGCTGTGCCACCAGGGCTCTCCCTAAATTTCAGTTTTTAGCAGCGTCACTTTGCATTCAGTATTGGTGCGGTATACAAAATAGATGCAAAGAAGTGAAAAGGTGAACAAAGTAGTAAGGTAATACAGATAAACAAATAATTAAGTCCAAGAAGAAAAAAAAATAAAGGGAACGGTGTAGAAAATAAATAGGATGGGATGGAGTACCTACTTCAGAAGAGTGAAGGAAAGTCATTTATGATAGAATGTCATTTAAAATAAGAAATGAAGAATGGTGAGGAAGCTAAGAGAAAGCAAGTTTTACTAATTCTGCTAAACAGACCCAGGAGCCTGGAACAAGAGAATGAGTTGTGTTAAATGAAAGTGAAGAGATTGAAAAATTTCAATTTTATTGTAAATACAGTGTGAAAATCATTAAAAGGTTTAATCAGAAGAGAGTTGTGGACATATCTTTTCATTCATGACTTCACAGATGGGTCTGGGATCATTGGATTGCCACATTTTTAAAAATTGCACATTCACATATATAATAAGAGCTAACTCAATATAAAATTTTTGAAAAAACTAACTCAGGGCCTCTCTGGTGGCACAAGGGGTTAAGTCTCAGCACTATGAAGCTATCTGCAGCCACTGTAGCATGAGTTTGATCTCGGGACAGGGAGCTGCCCACATGGTGCAGCAGACCTCTCCTGTGTGGTCTCCTGCTCCCCTCAGCAGTATATTTCAGTAGATCTGCCTGTTCTTGTCCTCACTCTGTCTCAGGTGAATCATCTCAACATCCCCCTCCCCCCCCACACACATCTGTGGCCTGCACCCCAGTTCTTGTATGTATAAATAAATAAAATAAATCTTTAAAAAATAAAGCTTTGCCTTGAGAAATGGTCCTATGGAAAAAAAAAAAGGCCTGAGAAATGATCTCAGATTCCTTGATGGGCAAGGAAAAGAGTTGGATCTCCAACAACTTGATCTTTACATCCTTCACCTGGCAGTCCAGCGTGGTGACAGGGATAGACTCTTTGTCCTTGGTCTTACCTTCACAAGCTCTATGGCCGCTGCCCTGCCCCTGACCTGGGCTATGACCCCAGCACTCTGGGCTGTTGATGCAGCCTACACAGAAAGCAGCACAGCTCCCCACTCCAGGGCCTCTCCCCTGCCTCCTGCCTCCTAGCTTTCCTGTAGTCCTGGCGCCATCTCCTATTTTGTGGCTCACAGGAAAAGCTCCTAGTCAAAATTGGATGCCCACTGAAGATGGCTCATAGGCTCCCTTAGGCTTATGCGCTACATCAAACTAAGTGCGCTGGATTGTGTTCTTTTACAGATTCTGTCTTATGGCATCAGGACATGTGAATACCCCTGGAGCATTCTTGTTTTAAGTTCCATCACATATGAACCAGTGTTTTTAGAGAGTAGTGGTTTTATGCCAATTTCTGTTTTATTCAAAGGAAAATTTTATGTGAATTTATGCAAACAACAACACACCCCAGAAGAAGTGCAAAAGGGAAACACACAAAGGTGCAGTGGCATGTGAAACTCAGCTTCGTGTCAGGTAGAAAATTTGGGGACCCATCCTGGAATGTCATTTGGGAACAGTTCTCTCCTTGCTGGACCGCAAAGTTCTCTTATCTCGTTGACCTAAGTGAAGAAATTAATCTGTAAGGCACTCTAACCTTGTTTGTTGGCTACCTGAGGATCTCACTGCCTCTGAGAAATTGGAGTGATGCCTGTAGATAGTGATGTAGTTTTTAGTCAGTAGGTTGAGTGCAAGGTCCTTGGGTTCACTCTGGGTAAGGTTTCTCCAGAGCTCCCCTTTCAGTTGCACACAGCAAGATTCTCCACGACACAGAGAGGTCAGATATATTTAAGGGGCAGGTTTATTAGAAAAGAGACAGAAAGGAGAATGATGCTTATATAGATGCAGTGGACAGAAAAACCTGCCCAGAAAGGGACAGGTTTGCTGAGAGAGGCCTACATGGTCACAGGCGGTCAGCCTTGAGGAGAGCGGCCTCCACTGAGGGAGGTCAGTGTAGGTAAGTCCCAGCATGCTACAGGTTCCTGGGCAGGCAGGAGGCTGCTGCCCTGCAGAGCAAGAGCTGGTGGAAAGAAGCACCTGCGTGGCCACAGGTGGGCAGAAGGAGCTGCAGCCCCTCTGTGGTGGCAGTGCTGGGTTTTATCATCTTCTTCAGTATGGAGGGTCTCATCTTCATGGGGGGATGGTTTGTTCATTAATCCCCAGATCGCCACCTTTAGATCCTTGCTCTTGACACTCCCTGCAAAGGTTTGGCACCTGTCTCGGTGTTGTGCCTCCTGATCAGGCATGGAGGCCTAAGGGTCTTGGTTTCCATAACTTGACTAAAGGCTTATGCTAATCCCTTACCCCTACCTCTGTGTGTGAAAAGGTTCCTGAGCTTGTAGTGCTCCCTCCAGCCTTTCTGTTCTTATTCTCTATCAGATATTGTCTCTTGCCTTTAGAAAGGAGCTGCTTTCCTGTGCATATTTACCAACTATTTGGGTGGGGTAAAAAGAAGCTTCCCCACACTTTAAAAATTTTGTTAAAGACTTAGTTATTTATGAATACAAGAATTGAGGTACAGGCCAGAGGTGTAGGGGGAGGGTGAGGGCATGCACCACAGACAGAGTGGGGAGCAGAACAGGCAAACTGACTGAAATACACTGTTCAGGGGAGCAGCAGGTGAGACAGGAGAGGTCTGCCAAGCCATGTGGGTCACCTCCCTGGGGATCCAACTTGTGCTGCAGGGGCTGTGGACAGACAGCTTCCTAGTGCTGTGCTTTAATCCTTTGTGCCTCCAGGGAGGGCCCCAGACTTTTAAATTTCTAATGGAGGCAATATATTTTTTAAATAAAGTTTTGACTGGCCCTCCCTGGTGGCTCAGCAGGTTAAAGCACTGCACTAAGAAGCTTAAGCCACTTCCGCATGAGTTCGAGTCCTGCCCTGGAGGTGACCACATGGCTTGGCAGACCTCTCCTGGACCCGCCCGCTGCTCCCCTCAGCAGTGTGCTTCGTCGATCTGTCTGTTCTGCTCCCCATTCTGTCCCTGGTGAATCCTCTCACCCTCCACATCTCTGCCTGTACCCCAGTTCTGTACAAATTAATAAATAAATCTTTAATAAATAAATAAATAAAGTTTTGACTACCTGAAAGAAAAGATGTGTGTGTGTGTGTGTGTGTGTGAGAGAGAGAGAGACAAAAAATAAATCTATGGGGCTTTACTACCCATAGTCAGTTTCCAGACTAAGAAATTTGGTCTTTTTTCTAAGCAGAAGGGAAAATAGTGAATGATTCTAAGCATAGGAATTGATTTTATGGTAACCTTTCTGTTACTTAGTAACATTAAAAAGCAAAAATGTTTTTATTATAATAGTTTATTTTTACATCATTTTGTGCCTTTTCCCATCTCAGTTGTAATCCCCATGGGCTTCCCATCACCAACTCACCTATTTGCCATCACCATAATCCTATGTACTCCCCCCCCCATTTTTGATCCCATTCCCCACTCCACGCCCCTAAAATGTCTCTGGTATATAGTTGTTCATTATTAATTTTTCTCCCTAGTCCTTTATGCTCCTGCCATGAGTGAAACCATCTGGTATTTTTCTTTTTCTTCCTGGCCTATAAAAAGCAACAATTTAAATAAAAATTTTTTTTTAATAGAGCGCTATTTGGCTTTAATTAACTATTCATGAATCAGGCGGCATTCCCTCAGTGAAGCAGAAGGGCACTGCAAGAATTTGTACTAAATGGAAGGTTTCCATAGTCAGGGAGAAGGTGGGACAAGAAAAGAAAGATTCTAGGGAAAGCCATAGCCCTTAGTGAAAGACAGAGTAGTCTTACAAGGCAAATCACCTTATTAGTATTAACCTTGAAATTCCAGGTTGATTGGTTTGAAATCCCACTTTTGGGAGAAACTGAAACTACAAATGCATTAGGCATTAAGTACTAGGAGGACTTGGTATAACAATTACATGTTGTTCTTTCTTCTTTAAAAAAAAAAAAAAAAACACTATACAGACACTGTTTCCAGACCTAGCTTCTACGGGTAAGTACAGCTGAATTGGGGTGTTAGGAAAACTTGTTTTTTCCACTCATATTGCTGGATTTCAAGCAGAAACTTGGCACCTGGCTACATTGCTGAGCCTTGCAAACCATAAGATGAAAACAGAAATTT